TGTTTCTCTCTCACCTATGTTTCTGTCTCTCTCTCTCTCTCTCTCTCTCTCTCTCTCCCTTCCTCTCTGTAAAAAATCAATAAAATATATTTTTTTAAAAAAAGAATTATATGTCACGGGCGGGGGGGGAGGGGGGGAGCATCAGGATTTTAGAGACGCTTAGGTGGGGCATGGCCAAAAGGGTTGGGAACCACTGGGCTAGAGGCTAATTAAGAAGTGAAAAGGAATGGGGTATTTCTAACATTTTGATACAAAATAAAATACTGTAAAATAAGAAATGACTCATGAGGCTTAGAAGCTTTAACAAGTCATCCACACTGGCCTCATGAAATTCAAGTGTGGGGCCAGGTAAAGAGCCTACCATCAGCCCTAACCAGTTTGGCTCAGTGGATAGAGCATCGACCTGTGGACTGAAAGGTCCCAGGTTCGAATCCGGTCAAGGGCATGTACCATGGTTGTGGGCACACCCCAGTAGGAGGTGTGCAGAAGGCAGATAAGAAAGCAGGAATCTTACGCCTGCATTTCACCTGTATTGGGGAGAGACTAATTCAGACTACCCATGTTGCATGTTATAATCCAGGAGAGGAATGTGGCAGTTTTTATATACTTTGCCCCATAAATTACCGCAGGCTCAATGTTGTACTGCACCCAGTGAGTACATTCATTGAGATAAAGGGTATTAGAGCAATATAAGTATTCTTAGCATGTATCTGCTCTTAGATAGACAGCTTTAGGCAATTCTAGTAAACATACTTCATGAAAGGAAGAAGAAAGCCCAAAAATGGACAGCTACAATGATTGAGGCTGTGAGTCATCACATATAGATCTTCACATACTGATTTCCTCAGTAGGCAATCTAAAAATCTTAAAGCAGTTTTCAGTATTGAACTTAGCTCTTTGGAAAAGTTTAAGTGGAATGCATCTGCTAAATGAATCTGTAGTATTGTAAGTTAAAAGTTTTTAGGAAAATATTGATATTCTATTGACATTCTCTAAACTATGAACAAATGCATTTTATATAGCAGATAATAAGACAAAAGATAGGCTTAAAGAACAAAACTATTTCTACATGAAATATTGTGAGAACAATGTCAGCTCCAGTTCTAAAATTTTCTTTCAGATATGATCCCAAAACAGATATGTGGACTGCAGTGGCATCTATGAGCATCAGCAGAGATGCAGTGGGGGTCTGTTTACTTGGAGATAAATTATATGCTGTTGGAGGGTATGATGGACAAACTTATCTTAATACAGTGGAGGCTTATGATCCCCAAACAAATGAGTGGACTCAGGTATGTCATTTCATTTTTCATTATTCCACTTACTCTGTTGTTTTTTAATTTTTTTATTTAATTATAGTTGGTATAGAGTCTTATATTGGTTCTGTTAGTTTCAGGTGTACAGTATAGTGACTTGACCTTACAGTGTGGTCACCCCATTAATTCTAGTAATCATCTGTCACACCATGTAAATTTATCACAATATTATTGACTGTATTCCCTTTTCTTTTTTATCCATCTCCTCACCCCATCCCTTCTGGTAACCAGTCATTCTTTTGCTCTCTGTTTATATGAGCCTGTTTTTGTTTTGTTTGTTTGTTTGTTTGTTTTGTTTTTAGATTCCACATATAAGTGAAATCATACAGTATCTGGCTTTCTCTGCCTGATTTATTTCATTCAGTATAATATCCTCTAGATCAGTGGTCGCCAACCTTTCGAACTTCACGGACCACCAGTGATCCGCGGACCACCGGTTGGCGACTGCTGCTCTAAATCCACCTATATTGTCACAAATGGCAAGATTTCATTCTTTTTTATTGCTGTGTAATATTTCAAAGTGTACATATATCTCACATCTTCCTTATCCATTCATCTAGCAATAGACACTTAGGTTGCCTTCATATCTTGGTTGTCGTAAATAATGCTGTGACGAACATAGGGCTACATCTAACTTTTCAAATTAGTGTTCTCGGTTTTTCTTTACAATTACCCAAAAGTGGAATTGCTGGGTCATATGATATATCTATTTTTAGTTTTTTGAGAAATCTTCATACTGTTTCCATATGGCCTGCATCAGTTTACAGTCTCACCAACAGTACACAATAATATATTTGATAAAGAGTTGATATCCAAAATATATAAGAAACTCATACAACTCAGTAACAAAAAAATAAACAATCCATTGAAAAATGGACTGAGGACATGAAAAGACACTTCTCCAAAGAAGATATACAGATGGCCAACAGACATGAAAAAATGCTCAACATCACTAATCATCAGGGAAATGCAAATCAAAATCACAATGAGAACCACCTTACGCTAGTCAGAATGGCTATTATCAGAAAGTCAGCAGATAACATCTGTTGGTGAGGATGTGGAGAAAAGGAAACTCTTGTGCACTCACTCTGTTTTTGTTAAAACAATTCTTTTAGTAAAACAGACCCTCTCAATTTTTTGGAGGCTTATGATCCCCAGACAAAAGAGTATTAAAATATATAGCCTGAACATGATAAAGTCATCACTTAATTAAATATGAAAAACAAGAGGGACTCATTAATTTTATAACATAATTAAAGTCCAAAATTACCTTTAACTTTAAAGTATAAGTTAATACTACTCAGACAAATTATTGTTAGTTGGTATGCCACCATTTGCCTGCTGGGAATTGGTGAGATGTTCTAGCATTGCTATAGCTGACAGTCCCACAATCAGGCTATGAGAAAGAGAAATGGAGGGAAGATTGGGGAAAACAAAGAGGGTAGTCAGAAAAATCTGAGCCACTTACCCATACATGACCAATAATTTTTAAATACTCAAGCCACTGACATTTGGGAGCAGATCAAATGGCTGGTCATAACCTAATTAGTTAAGATGGTAATCCTAAATTACATTAACAAGTAAGACACTTGGCCTGGCAAATTATAGCAAGAGTTCCAAATGTGTCTGTTTCTGGGAGAGCCTCACACTTCCAGGAATGATCTTTTGAGATCTTTCTTTTCCGTCACCAAGAACAGAATCAGGAATTTTGCACCCCAATTCAGTATCTGGTACATAAAAGACATTCGTATGTTTAATTGAGCCAAAGCTTTTTTACAAGAAGCAATGATAAGTACTGTTAAGAAAACAAAACTTGGGAGAATCGGACTATCATAGAACTTAACTACTGAGGTAGGTAAGGTCTGCATGTGTAAGGAGCGCCCACCATGAGAGTGGTGGTATGAAGAGTCTCATGCATAGGCAGAGAGTAGTTACAGAAAACCAGAGAACAAAGAAAATGGTTGTTGAGAGGGCTTTGGTGAGAAAGAAGTTGGATTTAAGCTAAACCCTAATGGATCCAACTCAGAAAGTAGAAAGGGGAAATTGTGTGAGAAAACATGAAAGAAATGTCACCAAACAGAAATATGTGGCTCTATTCAGGAAGTGTGGCTGGTTGAGAAGGATAGGAGTTCTTATTGGAGAGGAAGGTTGGGGTCAGGATGGAAATCCATGGAGGTCAAGCTAAAGAGTTTGGGCATGAGAAGTTGGTGGAGACTTTTAACCAAGAGAGTGACACAGTAACAAAAAGTTCACCTGGCAGTAGATGGGGATAGATAAGGTGGGTTAGGGCAGAAGTGAAGGCTTGAATTAGAGCTACAGGATTTCATTGGAAATTATGTGATTACGTCCCCTCAACACTTCCACCTTGGCAGAAGTAGTGTGAATGATAACCATGAAACCCAAAATGGGATAGAAGAATCTCTTTCTCTGGAACATACTTGATTTAAACCCTTGGGCCAGTATTTGAGGCTTGTTATTGCAGATTATTAATGCTTTATGCTGAATCATTCTGTATCAAAATTAATAATCTATGACCACATAGCTATTTTATATGCATGTCACCTCTATCACTATTTCACAGCACCTAAGTGTGAGCTTATAACCATAGTATCTGAAAAATAAATGTTTCATTCAGTGTTCCAACAAATGGACGAGAGGACATTTGTACAGGGAATGAAATGAGTTTACAAAATCTTAAGCCATCACCCACCTTACTACCAGCTTTGACCCAAAGCAGGAGGTGCCTGCATTGTATTTAATAAATTCTCTAAGCTAAACTTACTAGCTGGTTGTCATGACAACATGTACTATTCATAGTGTAGAGATTTAGTGTTTTGGTTGTTTTGAGAAAAACTGCTAATTACAAACAGATGCTTTGATTTTAATGACTTAGAAGTCACTCCTAGAATACTGTAAGTAGATAAGGTTTTAAAATAGATTATTTGTTCAAGGAGATAGAACAATGATCAAAACAACTGATTCAGATGTAGAATAACTGAGAATTTTCTTACAGTTGAAGTCTGTTGTGTTCTTAAAATCCACTAATTAATACAAACACTTTATATTAGTTCTTTATATTAGTCACTCTTTCACAAATGCTAACATTTTCTTTTTCTTAGGTCAAATGCATAGCTTCTTACTATTTTCAAAGTAGTTCTTTGAAAACTATTCTTTCCACATTTTTGTTTCCACTAGTAATTTTCTAGTGTTTAGGATACATTAAAAAAAATGACAGCCCTGGCCGGTTTGGCTCAATGGATAGAGCATCGGCCTGTGGACTCAAGGGTCCCGGGTTTGATTCCAGTCGGGGGCATATGCCTTGGTTGTGGGCACATACCCAGTGGGGAGTGTGAGGGAGGCAGCTGATTGATGTTTCTCTCTCATCGATGTTTCTAACTCTCTATCCCTCTCTCTCTTCCTCTCTGTAAAGAATCAATAAAATATATATATATATATAAAAGACAGCCTGGCTGGTGTGGTTTGTTGATTGAGCATCAACTCATGCACCTAGAGGTTTCCAGTTCGATTCCTGGTCAGGGTACATGCCCAAGTTGTTGGCTTGATCTCCTGTGATAGGTATGCCAGAGGCAGACAATCAATGTTTCTCATTGATGTTTCTATCTGTCCCTTTTCCTTCCTCTCTCTCTCAAATCATTAAAAACAAAAAATAAATTAAAAAATGAAAACATTTTTTTAAAAGGACAATAAGTGAAAAATTTAAGAGCTGTTCCTTATCTATAAACAGTTTATATTCCTAGCACTCACACTTCTATCTCACTGGCATAGAGTTCATTCATCAGGTTTGTTTCCAGTACTAGGGAGTTGAAAAAGATATTTATTATTAATTTAGTCTGCTAAAAATCAGTGGCACGGGTTTAGCCTTTTTCAGCCATGCATAGAGAAAGCAGTCATTATTTGGGAAGTTACTGTTTTTTTTCCGGAGTAAGCAGATCCCAGGCATGCAGTGTATTTTGTGTATTCTCTGAGATAATCCTCCTACAGGGCCCTTCTAGATAATACTTGATATTTTCTCCATATTGGTCATAAATTTGCTTTTAAGTATTCAGCATTTTCTCACAATATCAGCATTTCCTCACACCCATATTGTACACCATTTTACCCAAAACATCGTACTTCATGTAGAACAATTCCTCAGTTATAAAAACACGTTTTCACTATGTGTATGTGTGTGTGTGTATTGAATCATTACGTTGTACACCTGCAACTAATATAATGTTATATGTCAATTATATCTCAATTAATAAAAGAAAAATCACCTTTAAAGAGAGGTGAATAATACCTAATCATGTGACGTACATAAGTGATGTGGGATGTCTGCAAGAGTTTCACATCAGGGGGAGGTTTTGCGGGGAGGAACCCGGCCAGCGGTACGCCTGGGGCAGCAGCCTGTTGCCAAGGAGTATGGACTATTTCAGTGTTTCACCAGCTAGTCTAGTATTATCAACATTTTTTCCTACAAACCAAAAACATATGTCTTTTTGTTTCTTTTCAGGTTGCTCCATTGTGCCTAGGAAGAGCTGGGGCTTGTGTTGTGACTGTAAAATTATAATTTAGTGTTTTGGTTTTTAAATGAAAATATCCTCTTTTATGAATTTGGTACATTTATCCTACTATCAATGGATACATTTTTAGGAAATTTGCAATGCCACATTCCTGGGCACAAAGTGCCTGATCTCAAAGTGAAGATATTTTTAAAAAGGGAGGCTGAACCAGAATCATATCCTTTCATTTCTTAGTAAATCAAAAGTATAGCTGGTAGGTTATGAACATACATTCCTCATATAAAATACAAGAACAAACACACTGCTCCTAAGCACAGCCCAGTGTTAATTGGAAATTTCATTTCTTAATAATGAAACACATTATCCAGATTTCTTTTATTACAGTGCAAATAGACCAGATAAAACTTGTAACTTTTTTCTTTGTAACTTTATCATACATGAGTTGCAGTATTTTTTATTCATTTCCTTGTTTAACCATAACCACTCTTTTAATGATATACTAAAGAGTATGCTATTTAGTTTAGTGGGGTTTTTTTTCCAGAAATAGCTGTAATATATGTGCTTTGGTTGTGGATTTTTTTCTAAAATAAAGAAAAACATTAAAAAGTTAAAGTAATAATGACCAAATAAAACTTGATACGATCGTTGGAATATATTTAAATATTCATCCTATTATATTTAGATTCACCAAGAAGTACATATTATGATATTCTCAGATTGGAATTGAAACATGGTGTTCTACATTAAACTTAAGATATGCAAATTTATGTAGAGAAAAGAAATGTTATATACCCTATAATGTTCTTTCACCTAACAAGTATTTAATTATATGAATTTGTTTTCTTTTATAAAAGATGTTTTTATCCCTTTGTGCTTCTTTGTAATCAATCTGGGGGAAATGGGATATTGAATGTTTGGAAAATAAGTTTAAAATGTTTATTACCCAAAGTTTTGTACATTTGTAAACTCTAATTACATATGTGGATATTAATACTCCCAGTGAATTGCTTATTATTTGCAAAAATGCACTGGGCAGTAACATTTTATGATAAATCCTTCAAGGTATAAGTCATTAATTTACATCCTAATATAAATGAGTATAATCTAAATAACCATATTTTAAAATACAGTGTTGTGGTTAATGTGTTTTTGCATTGTATATCAGGGTAACCTTTATTTTAGTTGCTTTCTTTAAAAATTAAAACAAACTTTTTTTAGCTAATTTGAATGCTCATGTAATGTTTCCACATTGTTTCTAGAAATCAAGGAACTGAGTACTTCTGTTTCCCCAAACAAAACCTGTAGTTATTTCACTTTGTGGTTGCTTAGAAAATAATAGTGATGGTGACAAGTACATTAATATTTCATAAATTTATTATGTTATGAATATGAATTCAATTATTTTCCTGACAAGGAGGATCAGCTGTGGAGTATATTTATATAATTTAGAGGGAGGGAGGGAAGAGGAAAAGGTATAAGAAACAAAATTTTCAAAAGCAGAAACATATCAGTACATTATCTCTTCTTGTGGAGGCTTAGACCTGTGATTTGAAAGGAAGCACGTGTACATGTACTTGTGATCATTCCTTAGAACACTGTCATCCACTCTCTGGCTCCCTGTGCCCACGGTGGAGCCAGACTCCTTAAAGTAAAGGAACTGATTCCCTCTCTGAGGACCTTCCTTTCTTTTAGGGAGTCACTAGAACAGTTTCTTTGATTTTCTGTCCCACTAGAGAACCTCTCTGATGCAGTTTTATAGTCAATAGGACCTGCTCTCCTGGATACTAATGAAGAGAACATTTCTTTTCTAATGACAGAACATTTGCCAAACACTCCTTCTTCCAGTCTAGGGTCTTACAAATCTAGAGGAAAATGTGGCTCTTCCTTGTATCCATCGTCCAACATTGCTGCCTTGACTTTACTCTTAGTCTCTCCATTGAGATGTCTAGTTGCTCTTTATTTTAACCCCAATTAATGACCACTATGTGAAAAACAATGTTTGCTAATAATTATTGATGCTCATTATGGACTGGGGACCTAGTTTTTGCATGCTTGAATGCACTGAATCCTCACAGCAACCTTGTGAGGTACGTTCTATTATTCCTTTTACGGAAGAGGAAACAGACTTGGAAAGTTTAACCCCCCAGATTATATATAGCAAGTAAGTGGCAGAGCAGGGTTTCAGTGCAGGCAGTCTGGCTCAGGGTCCACACTTTTATCATTCCTGC